CATCGATGTCTGTGACATTTTTTTCATCAACGCTTTCGAAATATCTAATCCTCAAGTTTCTAATATCCATTTGAATGCTTTGTAGCGATCTATACTTTATTTGAATTTCATTCTTATTCGAACTATCATCATATTCCTTCACTACATTTTCTAACCTAGTTAGTTTCGCTTTTAACGAAGTTTTGTTTCTATCTAATGCCAGCATTTTGTTCACTTCTCCGGCTCTGCTGACCATGGACTATGATTCTAAACTAATAAGTGGACTGTATAGCAAAAGAACTAACTAATTTATTTACAGTTATTAACTATTCAGATCTAATACATGCTCTGGCATGTTGCTTAGCCGAATCCAGATGGCCAAGTGAGAGTTTCTCTCCCTACCCAATAGGTGGCGCTATATTCTAACTTAACAGTATCTAATGTCTCTAAAGTGACGCCCGAACTAAAAGGGTGGTGGATGATGATTCTCCACACCCAGGGAATTTGGCGACTAGGGTACCCTAAAACCCCAGTCGCCCTTTAAAAGGGGGAGTATATAAGGTATTTCTGCAGCCTTCTTAGCGTGCCTTCGTATTGTGGTGGTCTGCATGCTGGGCTCGTATTCCAGAGGTCCACAGTTCGATTCCCGGCGAAGGCGTTTCTCATTTTTCCGTTCTTTTGCTTGAAAAAAAATAATCCTAATGTCTCTACAGTGACGCCCGAACTAAAAAGGGTGGTGATGATGATTCTCCATACCAAAGATTTGGAGATTGGGTCCCCTAAAAAACCCCAGTCGCCATTTAAAAGGGGGGAGTATAAAAGGTATTTCTCCCGCCTCTTCGCGTGACTTCCGCATAAAAGAAACCTCCAGTAACAAATTAGAAACTCATTACGAAGGGTGAGCTTATTGATGCTCGTACAGTTTTTTCAAATTGCAGAAGATGACTCGAGACAGCTATTCTCATTTTTTGCTCCACATTTGATTTTCGAACCATATTTGGTCTTCATTTGGGCGACAGCTGGAAACCAAGACAGAACCACAGATAGGATCTCGCAAAGGGAAAGAGAATCCTTAGAGCTTTAGAACTTAAAGTTAGGAAAGTTTTAATTGAAATCCAAAACTTCTATTTAAACTCTCTTCAACTTGCGAATAAAAAGGACCGTGAATTCAGCATAAATTTCTCTACATTATCTTCCACAAAGTATTTTGTAAACCAGTCAGTGAGCTTTGAAAGGAGTTGCATGAAAAGAAATAGCAATTCTTATAGAATAAGCACGTTGTTTATCCACGACTCCAACTCCAGCTTTTTCCTAAACGCTAAAATCTTTTGTACAAGTTTCAAGAAGTGCATACGTAGCCCTGCTGTGACAGATTAAAGAACTTTTAGTTTGTCAAAAACATTGCCCTAATATGCCAGTGTCACCAGACAGCCTAGTTCAGATAAATTCTTAGCGATCGCATGATCTTCTTCTTGCAAAAAAGTGTGAAATTCTTGATGCCGTTCGAAGGCACGAAACTGGACGTTGTCACGCGAAAGCCATCCTGAACTGCAATAGTATAGCATAGCCGTGTGTTCAACTTCCATATCCTTGCATAGGTTTTTGAAAAAAATTGCTTTCAGCGGTCTAGTTTTTATGTAGTTAGTTCTCTACGTCTGTGACACGTTTTAATGCCGTACTCAATTGAGGACTAAACGACTTCAGTGCAAAAGGTTCCCAGTAAATAATGCAGTGGGTCCCTACAGCATGCGCCGTTTTACTGCAAAAAAAGCCTGTAGTTCCGCATAGCGACTGTATATTGTTTGAGCACATCAGTACACACACAGATGCACTTTTTCCAATCTAAATCATTTTCCATTGTAAATTTGTTAAGCATTATGAATAAGTCTTGAGCCTTTGCACTTCCGATGATGTTCTTGCAGTTCAGAAGATCTTCAACATTATCATCCAGGAGGCGTACATAATGTATAAGATTTGCATCTTTACTACTGTTTATTACCCTCATCTAATTGTGAACCGGGTTTATTTATCTTTAATTTTCTCTATCAACTGATTATTGAGATTCTGAGCTACACATTGAATTCTTTGTACAGGGTGGTTGTAATTAAAGAGGCCCTATTCAAGCGACTGTAGAACCCGTTCTATTTACTGAATTTTGATGAAATTTGGTATATATGTTATATGGACCACGGGAAAACGATTTCTGCAATAAAAATATTTCAAATTTTGACCTCCATGGAGAATTGTGGCGCCTTAAGAAGGACAAAAAAAATATGTCAAAATCATTAAAATTTACTCAGTTTCAATGCTCAATGTGTGCTCCATTGACATCAATTACGTGTGGAAAGCGCATTATAGCGTGTTCAGTGCTAGCGTGAAGTGACTCTCGAGGCTTGTAATGCTGGCTTTCAACTCAGGTAAAGCCATTATTCCTTATTTCCAAAACACAGTCTTTTAGGAATCTCCACAACCACAAATCACAGGTATTTAAGTCGGGTGAACGAGGAGGCCAGGCATCGGGAGAAGCTCTGGATATTGCACGATTTTCAACAAAGTTAGCACGAAGCAGTTCTTTGACTTGGCGCCCATTATGGGGAGTTGCTCTATTCTGCATGAAGACAGTGGTCTGATAAAACAGTTTTACCACCAGAGTTCGATCTTTCTTCTGTAAGGGCATGATTAATGATGACAAAGGCACGCAGAACGATTTCTGGCTCTTGCTGCAAGTCTGTTTATAGGTTTGACTAATTTGCAAAAGAATATTTTTCAATTGCATCTGGTGGTCAAAATTTGACATATTTTGTTATTGCAGAAATCGTTTTCTCATAGTCCATATAACGTATATACCAAGTTTCATCAAAATCCGATAGGCAGAACGGGTACTACAGGGGTCTGAATAGGCTCACTTTAATTATAACCACCCTGTACATTCGAGCTATACATTGAATTCTAATACTGCTGTTGCATATAGGTACCTCAGAAATGAGTTCTGTACCGTAATATTAACTATATCGGTAGCAGCTCTTTTGCGATAGTGTGCGGCCTTTTGCACTTCATCACTCTGCGAGGTACCTTGAAAGACGCTAGCTGTAAGTTACTCGGAACTGACGCTTGTTTCGTGAACACACTGCATTGCTTTTGTAAATCTTGCAACTTCCTACGCAAAAAATGCGAGATTTGTAGACCAAGTAAGGGTGAATTGCTTCAAGAGGTCTCTTTAGCTTACTTGGGTGAATACATTGTAGATGTTGTATTTCATTGTTGTTTACATATATTGTAGTAAAAACCAAAATCAAAGTAACTTTTCCTCGTAGTTACGACGTTTTCTCCTCTTTTATTCTACGCCAGTTCCGAAACCTGTCAATCAAAGGTGAACTATTGTTACTATCAGTTATCTCGTTTAATATAATGTTTTCTATTTTGTAAAATATCGTGTGGATTCGTAAATTTATTGCAATATTTTATCGAGGTCACGACTTCTTTTTCATAGATGTATAAGATTAAACGACTTTCCTCAACCGTTCCTGAGTTGGATACTCACGGTCGCGAGCGGAAAAACGAACCACCAACAGATACCACTGCTGAGAAGCTAAATACTGCAGTCTTGTGACAGGAAGTAATAGGTGCAAAAATATATGAGCATAACACAGTACAATCTGTCAAAACAACATAAAATGATTACAAATTGAAAGAGCTAAAAGACAGAATAAAATAGAGCTTTAAAAAACGATACTGAGCGTAAGAATTACTGTAGATTAAAACGAGAAATGAAAATGTTAAAAATACAATTTAATATTTTAAATATAATATTAATGAAAGTACAATTAATGAAAAATATGGACAGGCTTTCAATCTTCTTTCTTCGTGTTCGCGGCGAATCTGGCCGTACATCGCGGCGCTCCAGGGCGCCGCAGCGCACACTTTGGGAACCCCTGAGCTAGTCCCTGACTTGAGGAAACTGGTTGTAGAAAAGGCGTTTTTCTTTGTTAACGAATCTTCCACACATTTAATTACCCTTGGGTCCCTGAGCTAGTCCCTGACTTGAGGAAACTGGTTGTAGAAAAGGCGTTTTTCTTTGTTAACGAATCTTCCACACATTTAATTACCCTTGGTTAAGGATGCAGTGGTCCATAATGGCATCACAGTACGTTATATGAGCAATAAATTTGCAGGTTCATTATATTTGTCACTAATTGCTTTACTTCGTCTGTAACAATTTCATTTAATCTCTTGTCTAATCATTTAAACTTTCATTTAATCACAGCGAAGCAAACACAAACTAACATTCGGTAGACGGTGTCTCAGAATCGCACGCAAATTTACTGATGCGCAGTTTTAACTTATCAAATTGGCTAAGGCTTAAGTTTAACAGGGATTTAATGTCATTTTTACCTTAAAGCGCAAAGTTTTATGATCGAAAAGCCTTCATCTGCACGAAGCCTTACGTCACAAGTGTACGCACGAGAGAATGCGGTAATTCCTTCCATTCCCTCTCTCTTAAAAGGGCGAATGGTACGAGACGCGAGGCCTAGTCGAACAAACGCGGGAGGTAACGAAGTGTTATTCACCATACTTTTAGTTTGGGTGCCACTGTACCTCGATTTCGAACTATGAATCTTGAATTTGCTATCTGAACATGCTCACCACTTACACACCAACAATAGGCATTTAATTGTTCTCAACTAATTTTTTAATCTATGTATTATTGACGCTAACAAGTATTATTTATTTCTTTGCTTAAATAACTGAACCAAACTATAAATAAATATTACTTTACTGTAGGAAACTGTAAAACATAAATGTCGTAATAGGAGTTGAAAAACGGGGAAAATCTCGAAAGTACAGATCTCTCTAGAGAATGAGCCACAGATGTTTAAAGAGAGTGGAAGAAAAGCAAATTTTGATTTAAAGAAGAAAGAAAAAGGAAGCTGCTCGGAAGAATTTAAAATAAGATTTAGAACAAGAAATGCAGTGGTATTTTTTAGCGAAAAAAGATTTTATGCGTCCGAACATTTTCTTACCTTTATCGTCAAATCCGTGTGTTATCTCGTGTCCAATAACTACACCAATGCCACCATAGTTAAGTGATCTATGAAAAAAAAAGGAAATAAATATATTTCTATTTTTTCATACATTTAAGCAAGTCTTTCTATTAATAGAATCATCTGGAAAGTCTAATGAAAATATGCAATAAAAAGTGTTCAGTTTGTAAAGTGATATGGCTTTTCTTACTATATCGCTTTCCAGATGTGTATTACATATTCGCTAGCATAGCAGACGCGCACTGTGCGTCTGCAATGTGTTAGTACTAAGTTCGTCAAAGATCGAAATTTGAAGAAACAAAATTCTTATTTCTTAGCCCGCAATATGCGGTCCTTTTGAATGATGTGCGTTATCATCATTATCAAGCAATACTGGGCACGTTCACTAGATTCCTTTGTAGAACTCGGCTTCATGAATGTTGGATATATCTGAAGTAATGTTTTCGGAATCTCTTTAGTGCTACTAAAAATAATGCTTTTTGAGTCGAGACTTCCTTCAGCAAACAGAAACTACACTCTTCAAAAGTGAAATTGCAACACCAAGAATGAATCCTCGTAGGGTCATGCAGATTGCAAGATCGTGAGATGGATATTCAAATGATTAGACACATAAAATCATTCTAAACCAATTTATTAAGTATCTAATGTGCCCACCTAGGGCAGAGATACAAGCTGCAATCCGGCGAGGCATGCTATCAATGAGTTCATTGATGGTTGTCTGAGGTAACCTTTGCCAAGCCACATCTACTGCTGTACACAGATCATCTAGGGTTTCCGGCTGTGGTCCTCGTTTAATGTCACGTCCAATGACATTCCACAGGTGTTCGATGGGATTCAGCTCTGGAGAAGCTGCTGGCCAGGGTAGGATGCCAAATCCGGTCAGGCTGTTACGAGTACGCCGTGCGACATGCTACTTGGCATTCTCTTGCTACAATACCTTGTTGAGTGCGCCCTGCAACCAGGGCAGAACAACAGGTTCCACAACTTACGTGACGTAGCCGTCGGTTGTCAAACTGCTGTTAATTTGTACCAGGGGCGTGTTGTGATCAAACATAATGCCATCCAAACCACGCCCGGTGCAGGACCGGTGTGACGATCGGCGAAACAGGCTGTTTCGTAGCGTTCTCCGAGTCACCGCCATATTCATCGACGGCCATCATTCCTTCACAGACAGATACGAGATTCATCCGTGAACAAAACTCGATGCCATTCGATGGTCCACGCGTTATGACGCTTGTACCACACCAGGCGTGTGGTCTTGTGTTCAGCAGTCAATGGTAATTCTGTGGCTGGTACCCGTGAACGTAAGTGTACTTCATGCAATTTGTTGCGTAATGTTTGGATGAACACAGATCCACCGGCTCCTGGAGGCAACCGGCTTCCAATGTCACGTGACGTGACAAAAGGGCCTCCAGTAGTTGACCGCCGAATACGCCGGTTAGTGCGCTCCTGACGTGCACCTGTGCTCACCACTTCCTCTTCGACGTGCACGTACCACCTTCCTGAATCCATCGCGTGACACAACGTTGGATGGTACTCACGTTGTGCCCAATGCAAGTGGCTGTTGTGCGCAGCGACAAACCAAGTTCATGGAGTTCGATAATAGGGTCACAGTCCCTAGTCGTTAAGTGATGGTATTGAGCTCGCCGACGGCTCATAGGCATTTTCTATGCTTCTTCTAAAGTCTCCAACGCTCCGTAAACCCTCAGACGCTGTTTATAAGAAAGAAAAATGGCTGATCTTTATAGCCCACATATACGTACCACGTGATCCAATGCGTGCGCAACTTTTATCATTTGCATATCCACCTCACAACTTTCACTCCTGCTATTTGCATGACAGTACGCGCATTCTTTCTTGGCGTTAAAATTTCACTTTTGTCGAGTGTAGTCTGCAGTTGACGAATGGTAATTAAAGGAAATGGTTGAAAATTATGACAGCTTGCTTTGTCTGAAGTCGCTTGACAACAGAACCCTTGGAACTATAAGGTTTTTACGGGGAACCCCATCCACCCTTAGAGAAATAAATCTTAAAATAATATTTAAAGCAGATCAGTATAAGTAAATACTTTATGTAAGACAATTAAAGGAAAGCAATGCATTTTATTAAGCAATTTTAACACACAATTAACATTATGGATTAATCAACAAGTAATAAAAATGTGTTTGGATTATTAAGTGATTCTTGCAATTCATTAAAAGCTCTTCACATTTTCTACTACGGAATTGATATTTTCAGTAATGATCTATCCTCAATCCACTCGCGACTGCAAAATAATGTCTTCCCTAGTCAAGCACTAATCTCAATTATGTATATATATATATATATATATATGAAATGTAGATTCTCATACATTATTTATGTTGTGCAGCCGTGGCAACAGGAATGAGACAAATTTTGGAATATAAAGTGATACGTTTATTTTAGCATCCATCTCACAAGCGTTCCTCCTGTACCTCGAGGAGAAGCCCTATTTATAGATATGTGTGCGTCATGGGGCTCATCCAATCAGCGATATTAATTGAAATCACTAGGTGAAGCTATCTTCTCATCAGGAGTGTTTATCGATTTCGGTAAAGAATTAAATAAAGCAAATGTATTAGGAATAAAAAATTTTAGCAACAGTTTATTATTTGAAATGAGAAAATAATTCAAGACTTACTACTAAAAGAGCTAAAAAACATAATATTCACATGCATGTGGCTCGACGCTGAAAATTTTGCGGAGCCTTGTGTGAAACCTACTGATTTGGAGATACATGGAAATACATTATCATCCCTGATGCAGCAGTTTTAGTTAAATGACTACAATAAAGAATGGTCGATTTGTTATCGAAAATGAAGACAAAAAATATACAAACCTGGTTCTGTCAAAGCAAAAAAGTTTCAGTATGGGGTTTATGATTGTTCCAGGATTCTCTTACAATAGGATATTAAGAAGAGTGGGAAAAATGTTAAAACAAACGTAACGTAATATCAAGAGACAATATCAAGAGAAAGTTTTACTGCAGATATTTGCAGAAGAAATTCCAATTTTTTTTGTTTCAATGACTTTCAAAGAGTGAAACATAGAACTTCTGGTTTTTATCAACAGAAAACTCAAACAAACTCGACTTGAGTTCATTGGTATTACTGATATTTTTCCAATAAATACGTTTTGTAAACTTCGAAATAAACCATAATTCAATGGTGTAGGTTCGGGGCTGTACGGGGAATTCTACATCACTTCCCAAAACAAGCTCCAATAATTTTGTACGTGTCTCTAAACATATGTGAGGCCTCTCGTGGTGGAACACGGTTCCTTTGCGATCTTTTCTCTTCAATTGCTTCCTCCAGTTTCATAAGTTGATAACAGTAGACATCTGAGTTGATAGCTTGTTTGCCTGGAAGTAACTGAAAATATACAACACACCTTTGTAATCCCACCAAATTGGCAGCATGATTATTTTGGATGCAGTTTAGCTTTTGATATCTTTCGTGTTGCTTCATCTGGATATTTTTTGCTTTATTGTAGACAATCCATTTTTCATAAGGAGTAATAATTCATTTGAAAAAAGGTTCGATTGCGTTACGTCCAAAATGCCTACTGCAAATATTAATTCGTTGAGTTAAATGAATTTCTTTCAATTCATACAGAACTCAGATATCGAGCTTTTTACGAGTCCAAAACACTTTTACATGATTTCTAATTCTTGTACATGATACACTTAACCTTTTTGCAATCTCTGGCGCAGTCATATTATTCGATTCAATTATGGCTTTACTTTAGTCATTATTAACTTCAAAATGTCAGCTATAACGCTAATCATTTTCAAGTGAGAAATCTCCAGAACGAAATTGTTTAAACCAATTCTAACACATGCGTTCTGTTAAGGAATCACCAATATAAAATTCATGAATGAGCGGGAGCCTCATTCGCTTTTCTTGCCTTTACTAAAGTAAAAAATTAAAATATATCGAAAGCATTTATTTTTGCACCCGAGGTTAAAAAGTGATCGTAAACTGACGGTTATAAACAAAAATACACGGAATTTGTTCCTGTAGTAACTTAAAAGTGTTACCTGACAAGTATAATTGGCAGAAGAATAACAAACGAACATATCCCTCTCTATTTTGTGCAAACCGAAGTTACTACTTTCTTGACCAATTTCTTTATTCATTTTAGAGTATAAGCATTCCATTTCCATATTCAACCTGAAAATATTTCTGCATTTCTATTGAAAAAAATTTACATTTAACAAATTTCTTTTAAATAAATTAATTTTCTTAAAAATTTTAATTTGAAATATTTTTCTTTCAATATGTTTCTCTTTGTTTACAAATTTTTAGCAATTCTGCTTTTCTTTTGGCTATGAAATTTATGGCCTAATAATTTATTTCATCTTATTGTTTGTTTTTGTGTTTAAGATAAACAGCATAAATATTTCTTTCAAGTTAGATTTTGAGAAATAAATTTCTTACCTTATATAATTTTGATGATATAAAGGCGGCTGCAAAATACCAGCAGGGAATGCTAAAAAAAGTAAAATAAAAGGTTGAAATAAATAAGCAATTTAGATGTGAAACACCTGTAAATAATTTGAATTTTATAAAGGATACTCTTGATAAATAAGCTTACTTATGAAATTTTTAGATCTTGTGTAGAAGGCATTGACTACAGCTGGAGAAGTAACCCATCTGGAAATAATAGTTCAATAAATTACATCTGAAACGTACACTACACAGAATTTAGGTGACTAAAGTGTACTTACATATTAACACAACCCGTTTGGCTCAGCGATTTTTCATAGATGAAAAAGAATTGTGACAGGAGTAATCATTCAGTTCAGTTACAAAAACTCACTTATTATACAAATAAATATTATTACTTATATGTTTTATATTCTATTATATATTTATCTTTAAAATTAAATCAGTAAATTTATTTATAAGCTTGTTTCTATTTCTTTCGTTCCGATGGAAATGTAGTGACCATTGCTTTAACAACAGGTTCAAGATAATTATTTCTTTCAAATTCGACAAGCGCATGTTTTATAACCGAATTTAAGGTATAGAATATCATAGTTTGTCTATAAAAACCGTTGCCTTTGGAATACAGCAAAAAGAACGTATACGAAAGTAGCGATGTTGCTTGACAGAAGAAATGTTATGAGCATGGTTACCTAAAAAAATGTTATAGGCATGATTGTCAGAATTTGGCTCATTTCCTGAGAATTTGGCGACTCCTATAAGGCGGTTGCGCTAATACGTAAGTACCTATTAATGAAATATATTTTTAATATTTTACAGATATCACATGCTTGTGAATTCAAATGTATGTTTTTAGTGAAATGACGGTTTTAAATCTTGCATTCATATGCGAAATTAAATTCACGTATGTTAGATGAGAACTGGTCAGGAAAAGAAAACTTTTTTAATAATTTAATCTTTTATTCTATACAATAATATACAAGCAGTAAGTAAGTTAAATTGTTTCATTTATACACTTAGTGACTGGCCAAAGTGATAGAACAGCCTTAATTCTTAAAAATAATATAAATTTTAGATATATCTTACTGAAACTATAAAATGTTATTTAGTTTGAAACATTTGAAGTCTGTGATTACTAATAAGATTGTAAACAAAATCTTCCGCTATGAATACAAATGGTAAGTTTACGATATGATTTTGAATTGGAATAACAAATGACATTAAATGTGACCAATGTGTATTTGGCCGTTCTCGAAGAAGGTATAAAGTTGCCAAGGGAAATTTGAAACATTTGCTTAATTTAACAGAGACCTTGTGCTTAGGGTAGACTTTATTCAAAATTCTATCAATTTCGAGGACTAACAGGTACAGGAGCAAAGAAATCTACAGCAAAAGACTGACTGACTGACTGATAACTTATAGCCAGAATACCACTGAGATCAGTAGTTTATCTGGCTCAATCAAATTCATGCCGGATGTGCATAATAACATAGAACTATCTTCACATAATGTCCGCAGTAAGGAGGAGAAAGACGGATAAAGAATAGGAAGACCAGCAACGCAAGAGCTCACAAGCAAGTAACCGGCCCGGTAAAGGCGTGACTAAGTGGGAGTCATAAAATGAGTGTAGAATGTGAATAAAACTAGAGAATTTAAGAAATACACAGTACAATAAATGAGTAAAATACAAAATTAAGAATGCTAATAAACACATTGGGTACATCATTTACAGGTGGGCACTAGGTGGGAAAGTTCGGGTCCCTGATAAGGTGGGCCGCAAGTGGGCGCAGTTTGGCGTCCTCATTCAATATTTCGTAGGTAAAGATATCAAAATTTTTCATATGGTCACAGTTCAGAGCTTTCGTGAAGAATTTCCTGTTGATCTTATTCAGGTGCTCTTCTAGAGTGTCCAGTTTTAAGTCACAGTGTAGTGTAGCATTGCTCACAAAAAAGTGAGCATGGGTGATAAGCCTTAAGACTTTGTTTTGCATGATTTGAAGTCTCTTTATATCCTCCTTGGTAGCCGTGCACCAGGCCGGCGACGCATAAGTCATCAATGGCCTAATTGCCGTGATATAAACTAGCCTCTTTTTCCTGAGGTCTAAGCTAGAATAATTACCCAATATAGGGATGAGACTATTTACAACAGTGAAAATTTTTCTTCTGACCTCTGTTATATGATCTCCCCATTTTAATCTTTCATTTAGCATTACTCCTAAATATTTCGCCTTACTAACTCTAGGAATCTCTTCAGAGAATAAGAAGAGCTTACTGTTAATAGTCAACTGTGTATTTTTCCTTCTTATCAATAATAATTGCGATTTGCTGGCATTAATAGCAATTCTCCAAGTCTTACACCACTTTTCTACCACTGGTAGAAGCTCCTGTAATTTCTTGATTGCATGGTGTGCGTTTGCGGACTTTACGGCTAATGCCGTATCGTCCGCATAGCACCCAAGAAAGTAATTTCTGCCAATGTGAGCCCTAGGAAAGTCATGAACATAAAATAAATACAGGACGGGCCCTAAAATGGACCCCTGTGGGACGCCTGCATTCATGGTGCGTAAACTGGAGATGTCCTTTTCAATAGCCACAGTGAATTTCCTATTAGTGATGAAAGACATAATTAGCTGAATCAGCTCTCTATCCATAGGGAGATTTATAAGTTTATAAATAAGCCCCTCATGCCAGACGCGGTCGAATGCCTTCGCCACGTCTAGCATGAGTAAGGCGACATTTTGTTTCTTGTGAAGCGCATCCCCACAAAACTCGACGAGCCGAACCAGCTGCTTCGTTGTTGAAAGCTTTCTCCGGAAAAACCAAATTGTTCCGGAGGCAGTAATTCAATATAGTTTTTCAATCTGCTGTAGATTAATCTCTCAAAGACCTTTCCTAGTCCCGGAAGCAAGCTAATGGGCCTGTACCCATCTGGCTTAGTGTTATCCTTGCCGGGTTTAGGCAATAAAATAACTTTTGCGATTTTCCATTTTGTGGGAAAATAGCATTGACTAAGACACGCATTGATAATACTCGTGAATTTTGTCACAACATTGCAGGGCAGATTTCTAAGTGCGTGATTATTAATACCGTCTATGCCAGGGGCCTTTTTGACTTTAAGCTTCTTTGTGATTTCTTTGATCTCACTGGGGGTAGCAGTGGCCATGTACCTCTTAGCAGTGTGGGCATTAAGAAGCCAATCCCTAACAAACGTAGCATGCCTCATTGACAAAATTAATGTCCATGGGCGTCATGTTAGGTCTGAACTGCTCTTCTAAATGGTCCGCAAGGACCGTCGATTTGTCTTTATTGTTGAGAGCAACAGAGTTTTCAGTATAAATCGGCTTATTGCATGTACGCTGCCTTTTCAAGTTACGCATGAACGTCCAGAGACTGCCATCATTCGGACTAAGATTCTGAATTTTTTCTTCCCATACATCTCTCTTATGCTCATCTATTTTCTTTTTAATTAATTTATTTAATTTGTTCATATCTCTTTTAACGTGAGGGCTCCATGTAAGGTGCCACGCTTTCCTCATCCTATTCCGGTCCTTAATCATCTCTCTAATTTCCTGTGGCAGAATGCCAGCGTTATTATTTCTTCTCACGTGTCTAGAGGCATTTTCAATAGCATTATTGATTGAATCAGTGAGGGTATCAACTGCATATCATCTATATCTTTCCGCGAGTTCAGAGTATCAAAGATGGGCGGATTCTGACTGAGAAACTTCTGGAACTTATTCCAGTCAGTCGTGCGGATCATTTCATTTTCTGCCTCTTTAGTAGTGCCTAGGTAAGCAATGACCGGTATATGGTCAGAGCTCAATTCGTGCTTTACTTCAGTATAAATAGGGATTGAAGTATTTGTCAGAAGAATATCAAGAAGGTCTGCATTTCTTGGGTTCTGTGGTCTATACGTATACTCCTCAGTAACATGCAAGGCAACTGGGTGATTATTTATAAATTCATAGAGGACCTTACCATTTTGGTTAGTTTTACGGCACCCCCACTCGGAGTGCTTTGCGTTGAGATCACCCGTTAGGATATACTTATTAGTGTCAGAGAGAAGTTTGGAAAGAACACTTTCCGTCAGTAGTTTTCCTGGGCGGATTATAAAATGAAATGAAATTCAAATTACCATATTGCGGTAAGTACACTGAGACTGCGACCATCTCATGTCCGTCGTTTCTATCTTGGCTAATCAAACAGGACTGGTAGCGAGTTTCGCACATAAATTGCGGCCCCCCAACCACGGTGACTCAAACGATCGCACCTATATGTGCGGTAATTAGGCAAATTTATACGCACGCATGGCGTGGCAAAAGTCTCTGTTACAAGGGCAATATCAATATTGTGATTGTTAAGGAAGTTTAAAAATTCCGTCAACTTGTTCTGAATGGCATGAGCATTCCAGAATGCTAATTTTATGGGATCTCCTTGTGTGGGTGTACCTATCCATTAAGATCTTGATTTATGGTAGTTTTGTCCTTATGAGTAGGTACATTTTGTCCTATTTGCTGTGTTAAAAGAAAGCCGGAGCTCTTTATGACCGATACAAGCTCGGCCAGGTGTGCAAAAACAGTTTTTGCTTCCTTGATCGTGTGTGCATACAAACCAGTAGACAGGGCTTGTGCAAGTGATTTATTTTCTATAACCCTACTAGTATAGACTTTTGGCTTATCCTTGTTTCTTTTTAGGGAACATCTCACGCACCCCCTAAAGTTCGAGGTGTGAGATTGTTTACAGTTCGCACAACGTGGTGGCAAGTCAGAGAGTTTTTATTAGGGCATTCAAAGGACAAATGTCCCTCTCCGCATCTCACGCACTTGGGTGCATAGTTACAGCCAGTTTGCGTATGATGAAATCCTTGGCACCTATAGCATTGTAGCGTGCCCGATCTACCTTTATAATTTTCGACTTTAATTCCTAGGTCACATAAGTGAGTTTCGTTGTGTATATCTTTGGATTTGGGTTTCTTAGGCAGAGTAACTAAAAATAGCGGAAGTTTAATAACCTCCCCTTTTCTTCTGCGCGTAAGTTGTTTAACTGATTCAACTTTGTATCCTAAATCCTCTAACTCCTCTTGTATTTCTACCGTATCTGTATCTCTTAAAGACCTCTTATCACATTACTTTTATGTCTTTATCCTCAGGAAGCGTGAAAGAGTGATGTTCCACTTTCGTGTCTTTTAAATAAGTAACAGTCTGCCTGTAATGTTCAGGGTTTCTGATGAAAATTTTAATCCCTTTATTATTCTTATTAGAGTTAAACTCAATGTTTCTCTGTTTAAGTGCCCTAGCTATGTTTTTCCAAGTAGGGTAATCTACTTTAATAGTTATGGGTGGTATCCGTGACTTTTTCACAAATTCCGTTTCTATGTTTTCATCTGAGCTTGTATTTTGTTTAGACGTACTAGCGTCCGTGTCCATACTATTGTTATCCTCACCCTTAGTGGCATTTTCACTAAGTCTCTCCTCCATGGTGTTCATTTGAGTTTTTAATAATTTAATCTTTTATTCTATACAATAATATACAAGCAGTAAGTAAGTTAAATTGTTTCATTTATACACTTAGTGACTGGCCAAAGTGATAGAACAGCCTTAATTCTTAAAAATAATATAAATTTTAGATATATCTTACTGAAACTATAAAATGTTATTTAGTTTGAAACATTTGAAGTCTGTGATTACTAATAAGATTGTAAACAAAATCTTCCGCTATGAATACAAATGGTAAGTTTACGATATGATTTTGAATTGGAATAACAAATGACATTAAATGTGACCAACGGCTAACCAATGGATATTTGGCCGTTCTCGAAGAAGGTATAAAGTTGCCAAGGGAAATTTGAAACATTTGCTTAATTTAACAGAGACCTTGTGCTTAGGGTAGACTTTATTCAAAATTCTATCAATTTCGAGGACTAACAGGTACAGGAGCAAAGAAATCTACAGCAAAAGTAAAGCCATGGTTGTATTTATACCTAAAAGAAATAAAGCGAACGAGAAGGTAGCGCCATCTGTCGGCTGACATGGCAACGAAAATTGAAAAATTAAGTTAATAGAGTTTTAAAAGCGCTAGGAAGGACTGGATTAGAATTAAAGTAAAAAAAAAAAAAAAAAGAAAAAAAAAAAGAAAAAAAAAAAAAAAAAAAAAAAAAAAAAGAAAAAAAATATCTTTGTGAATGTGAAAAGCTTCAACAAAATCTAATTCACTAATATAAGAAGCATTCAGGATAATTTTTGTAGTCACAAAGCCAAAATTATGATTAAATTTTCAACTATGATTAGCTGTCAAAAACTCGTTAATTTCGCCCTTTCGCACTAAGATTCGTATTCCTCGATGAGAAACTTTAACGCCCATTTAACTTGGTTTGACCGATATATCTCAAACCACATTGACAGGATATATTATAAATTCCCTCAAAAAATAAAGTCAGAAATGGAATCTTTAAGAATCGAAGCATGAATTTTATTGATAGTCGAGAAAATGGCTTGAAATTGAAATTCTGGAGAATCTACTCAATTTTTTAACTGAAAAAAGGATGAAATAAAAGCACGACAAGGTTATTAATGTTTTTCTAATAGCAGAACGTCTTCTTTGATGGTAACTGAAAAAGGTTCAAAGACTTTATCAATAATCGAGAGAGAAATCCTCGGCCAGTAGAAATTGATGTCAAAATAATTAAGTTCATTAGCAAATATACGTCCTGAAGTGCAAACCTTGACAGCGTGGAATATCGGGATTTAACGAAAGTTTCTCACCACCGCAGACATCGCCTGCGCTAACAATTCGCGTTGCCATGTTTAGCCATATTTTGCTAAACGATTTTGAGACTTGCTTTAGAATACTGTATTGTGAAATTAGTAAAAAAGTATCGTTATCATTAAAATATCTGAAATGAATGGTCTGAAATGAAAACTATCACGCTATCAAATTAGAACCATCATTTACTTCAAGTTCTGTCGCAAAAAGTTCAGCTACAGAATGTCACCAAATCATGTGTACAGCATTAGGTACTAATGCTGTATCATATGACAATGTGAAGGTTTAGTACCAAAAGTTCAAAAACAAGGACTAGAACATTAAAGAAGCAAAGTGCTCTGGCCGGCCGACTGATGTTGATGAGGTCCGCCTGCGAGAACTTATGGAAAAAGATCCGTATGCGACCACTCGAGTGCTTTTTAAGGAGTTAGAAGTTAGTGCCAGTCCATTAGTCGCGCTATGCATTGCATAAACCTGGCCTACAAATTCAATCGGTGGGTGCCGCATGAGGTGACTCAGGCAGGTAAGGACAGATGTGTTCGGGCCTGCACTAATCTGCTCGAATATCAACGCAATGATAAAATTCTGGACCGGGTCATCACTTGTGATGAAAAGTGGATTTACTTCAACAACACAGACCAAAAAGAAGGTTGGTTTGCGCCCGGTGACCCGTCGACAGCGTCGCAAAGAGCCATTTGACTAATAAAAAGATCATGCTTTGTATCTGATGAGATTGCCGTAGTATTACGCATAAATATCTGGGAAAAAGTAAAACCCTTGACAGTAAGGTATACAGCGAGATGTTAGTCCGTGTTGACATTCCTATCAAGAAAAAACGTCCGGCGCAAAAAGTTCCACCAGATAATGCAAAAACAATATGTGTCTGTATTCACCGGGTGGACTCCGTACGGACTAGAATGGGATCTTTTGCCACACCCACCATATAACTTCTACCTTTTTTCATACCTGCAGCTACGTCTTGCTGGTTCTATTTTCTGTTCTGCACAGGACATCCAAAAAGAGGTAACTCTGTTTTTGGAGTCGCGGTGACCAAGTTTCTGAGCCGAAGACTGAAAAACTACCAAAGCGTTGGCAGAAAATTATAGATTTGTGTATTGATTACTACCCGCACTAAAAATACTGCTTTCATGTTTTTTATTTTATTTATTTTTATTTTTTTATTTTCTAGAGTCCAGTGAATGAACTTCTGTCTGTATACTGGAGTAGCAGGAAACAACACAGGAGAAGGGTTAAAGTACCCTTTATTAACTCTTTAAAATTTACAGTGCGTCAACTCGATGTTAACAAACTTCGCCTCTGCTTGGGCGGTAACTGAAAGTCAGATAATTGAAACTAAAAGTTGAAATATTAACAAGTGATAAAATTAGTCTACCGGGCTCAGCGAGATCTCGTAACTTAAACCCCCTTCTACGCTAGTGGCAGCAAAGCAATGCAATTAAATCGCTTGAGCCATCAATAAGTAAACGTACCTACGGCAGCGATGGCGATTACGGCCTAACTCTTCCTTTCTCCGAAGCTCGGCTTTTAACTACTCCCTTCAAAGTAGAAAATATGCATTTTCTTCCGCGCGCTACAACATTAACTATTCTGGCACTGACAATTAGAGGAATGAAGGCTTATAGGAAAGTTAAAAATAAAACTTTAAATTGTTAGTTAAAATAAATATAAATCCCTACAACTTTAAGAACGTTTTTTGGCGGAAATCTTTAAAAATAGTAAAAAAAAAAAAAAAGCCATTTTTTGCTTAGCTGGGTGACGTGACGTAGCATTGGCAGGCAAACAGAAAAAAGTTTACAGTAAATAGTAAAGTTGAAATCAGACTCGGATTTTAAAATATAAACTTGTTTGCCATCGAAATTGATAGAGTATCTAAAATCTAACGCCAGGCATAAGGTTGTCGCTTTGCCAAGTTTATGTTTTAATTTTGTATGCTTTTCTTTTGTCTTGATTTGTTTAAATTGTTAGATTACTTACCGTTAGTTACAGCTTGTGTTTGATTACTTCTACGAGCATTATTTTTGACTCATATGTATATATATTCCTAATTATCGTCAGTGAATATTTCTTTATTTTTTCTGACATACCCACATAACTCTGAAGTACCTAAAATATAAATGTCAGACAAGAAAACATAGTTATTGTTTTCTTTTTTGGTATATTTTAGTCATTTGACTGATTTTTTTTTAATAAAAGGTTCTACTCTTTAATCCCTTTAGTGAAAGACAAAATGCAATGCGTAACTAACTTTGAAGCTCTAATAAGGCAATACAGTTAATAAGGAATAAATTTTTATTTAAATTGAAAGGAAATGCACAATAATGCAAAATTGTATCACCCGAAGTCAGTTAGCTTTACAGTTGGAAAGATGTGTAACGCAAAAGTAAAAAGCATTAATAATTTATAAACGTGAGAATGAAAAGTAAAATGCATCACAAAATGAAACACTTTAGTCATAAAATAGAAAAAAATATGGAATATTTACATGGAAGTTGCACGCATGTGAATATTGAAGTAAACACTTGCGTCACAGAGTGATAAACCAAAAAAGTTGTAAATTTTTTATTATTGGAAAAAAATTGTGGAAATTTAAATAAACAAAAATGATGAACAATGAAACTAAAATATGTCTCGCCTGGGAGCATCATGTGCATAATTTCATTTGCTGTGTTACTGACTTCACCAGTTTATTCATGGAAAATGTTTTAAAAATTTTTCGAAGCATTTTTAATAATATAAATGGTTAAAATTAAACAAAAAAATAATGAATGAACCGATGAGCACATCCTTAAAGAGTTCCACAATGCTTTAGTAAAAACTTATAAACATTATGCATATATATAAAGAAAGGACACAGACAGATGCTTACTGCGTTCTATCAACCGGTGTTCGTAGTTTCAGTTGCTCACGTGTAGAATAGTGCTTGAGATTTTTCAGCACATTGTCGAAATAAGCGTCTGGTTTGAATTCTATCTATAAGAAAAAAAAAACGTTTCATGCTGCATACTGCATATACATATCTTTATTCTGATTTTATTGATTCCGAAGCATCATCTTTATTTCTGATATATTAACTCTATTATCTGTTTGAATGTACAATAAGTAAAGGAACAGATGATTAAAATATTTTATTCAAACTAAAAACTGTTTACAATAAATAAAGAGACAGCATTAAGTTTAATTTATTCAAAGGAATGTTTTTAATATGTTATTCTCGAGCGTTATATTAAGTCAGTTTGTGTGCATATATAATAATGTTTGAACTTTATTGAATATTTCCACTAATTGAAATTTATTTCCTTTGCTTTAGTTTTACTGTTGCTATTCGAATATATTTAGCTCCCCAAGTTATTTTCTAATTTCTTTTTAAATTCAATTTTTAAGGCCTTGAGTATTGTTGAATACTTTGTTCATAGAAATTCAAACTCCTTTGACACCTCCATACTCATATATGCATTTGCTGTTTATATACTCCTAACAGTTGGGACCTCAAGGGAGGTGTTAGTATCTCCAGATATAAGAAAACGCAGGATACATACCTGCTTACTTCTTTTGGACATCAGGTATCCAATCTTCCCACCTATCACGTGACTACAAGTATTTCTAAAGTACATTTCAACATCTGTGTCATCAGCGATTTTTCATATTATATCTACGTATGAAACAGGTGTGGAAGATAGCTGTGACAGATTGACGATAGTTTATTACGTTGGAGAGATTTTACTGCGTAGACGGAATGATAACACTTGCAGACTAGCGTAGCAGTAGATTCAACATAATTTTATTACTAACTAACACAATTCTTTGGTCACATTGTAAGGATCTTAAGTTTTACTAACGTTTATTTTATTTTAAATCTTTACTATCACTTCTTATTTTCTACTTCCGGCAAGAATTATAAGCGTGAAGGATTTTATGCAAAGTTTGTCTGGCGAACGCCAAGTATTTAAGTGTGGCCTTTTTGCCAAGCGAAAGAGAGAGGAAGCAGTGAGTTCGAAGCAGGCCGCTTACCTTAGAAGTTACGCAGTTGCTATTTGCCTTCCAGGCCAGAGGTTTTAATCCTCTTGATAAATTAAACGTATTGTAGTGTTCACAGTCTCTGTGCTACATACGCTTCCTGTTATTATAAGGCCAATCTTCCACGTGTATTATTCTAAAGTTAAATTAGAGTTTAGTTTTATTTTGATATCTTTTACGTTAGACCCCGAGTGGAGGGTCATTGTATTCCGAAGTACGGAAGTTCATTGTATATAAAGAAAAATAAAGGGTTTTGTATACCCTTCGTCGGTATCCTGTCTACTTACTACAATTAGTGAACATAGCTTTAGTAAGCTCTCTGTTCTTAGTCAGGTCCTTGTATGTTTCCGAAGAAGGTTAGAAGAAACATGATACGTTTAATTTATCAAGAGGATAGTGGCGCCCAACGTAGAAGAATAACCATGGCCGAGTTTCAAGAAGAACCTGTGCTGCCTGCAGAAACGGCTCAGAATCCAGAAATGCCAGCTGCCGCCCTGGAAGGATTTGGGTACATCGTCCAGACCATGCGCGCTTCGATGAAACCAGAAGCAACATTTAATGGAAACTCACCGGTAACCAGTTTTTTGGAAAAATTGGATGACCACTTCATGCTCTATACCCCGTGCACGAGTTTCAAAAAGTTACCTTAGCTACCAGCGCTTTGAGGGGCCAAGCGCTTAACTGGTTCAAATGTATCGGCAGAAGTCTCTTGGGTCAAGCAGGAAGTCCCACCTATACTTACGAAAATTTCAAGACTGCCCTACTAAAAGCCTTCCCTGTTGTAAGGGATCGTGCGAAATTAGAAACGGAACTTTTCAGTATATATCAACAAAGAATCGAAAACCTCTCGAGCTTTATTTTAAGAAAAATTCACGTTTTCAAGCTCTTGTATGGAAACCGTCCGGATCCTGAAATAATTCAAGTGATTTTGCCGAGGTTACTACCCCAAGTGCAAGACTTTATTGAATTAAGAAATCCGACTACACTGGAAAAGTTATTTGAGCTAGCAATCCAGTTTGAAAGTAGAAGAACGGCGGACGTCGAAAGAAGACGCCAATATCAACAGCGAAACCAATTTGGTACGCCAAGACTACAGCAAACTCAAGCACATGGCTACGGAGAAAAAGCGAATCAGTGGGCAAGGAAACCCGAGCATTCAAAAACAGCCGGCGAACGTCGACAGTTCAATAGCAACCCAGGAAAAAAGTCTCAAGGCCAGTGGAAAAGAAGGAAAGCACGGAAAGGAAAAATAATTTAAACTAAAACGGATTTCTGCTGACGAGAGGGTGCGGAAATCCGAAGGCCACGAAAACCCCTCTTCCTACAAGTTAAATACAGTAATGGTGAAAAATTTGACTCTTCCGAAGATTGAAGTCTTGGTAAATAATATCCCGGCCACCGCACTCCTGGATACCGGCGCGCAGTGTTCCTGTGTGGCAGAAGTCTTTTTTAGAAAGTATTTTCGCAAATACCGCATATATAATGCGGATAATACGACAGTATTAGCGGCGCAAGGAAAAGAATGTAAGTGCGTAGGTAAAGTACCTTTATATATCCGTATCAAGGACGAACAAGTAAAGGTGATGTTTTTTATAGTAAAGAATTTGCAAGCACATTTAATCCTAGGAATAGACTTTCTTTCAGACGCACAAGCTACACTGGATTTTAATGAAGCGTCCCTTAAGCTGACAATGAAACCAGTGCGTGTAGAAAAGGTTGAACCGCCAAGGTTAAATCTTGACCACCTGCCTAATGACGAGCAAGATAGAATCCGACAAGTGGTAAGTGAATTTGCTTCCTTATTTAGTGATATTCCAGGATTTACTCAGGTTACTAACCATAGTATTGACACCGGAGATGCATTGCCAGTTCGTCAAAAACCATACCGGTATGATAAGAATAAGGAAAAAATTATAGAATGGCATATTACCGATATGCTACGTAAAAAGATCATAACGCCCATCTCAAGTAGTTATGCTAGCCCGGTGGTTTTATGTAAGAAAAATAATGATTATCCTTTGGAGCATCCAAAAAGGTGGAGATTCGCTATTGATTACCGTAAATTAAATTCCATAACGAAATATCCGGTATATCCGTTACCGATCATAGAAGAAATTTTAAGGAACATAAAATCAACCAAATTTATGACGACTTTAGACTTAACGAACTGGTTATTTTCAAATAGGGGTCAGGCCTGAGGACGTGCCTAAGACTGCTTTTATAACCAAGTCTGGCACTTATGCATTTTTGCGTATGCCGTTTGGCCTTTCAGGCGCCCCCCCAGCAACATTTCAGCGATGCATGGACATTGTGTTAAGACCTGTTCTTGGAAAGTCCACATTTATCTATTTAGACGATATCATTATTACTAGTGATAATCTCGACCAACATGTACAGGATTTAAGACAGGTGTTTTCTTTATTAAATGAGGCCGGTCTAAAAGTTAATGTCGAAAAGTGCAAATTTGCAGCCCCTGAATTAAAATATTTAGGTTACAAAATATCGCAAAAAGGGATCGAGACAGATGAATCAAAAATAATCGCTGTACAAAAGTATCCGACTCCAAACACGGCAAAGAAGCTCTCTTCTTTTCTAGGACTTTGTTCATATTATAGGTCCTTTATAAAAGATTTTGCGGCTATCGCTGAGCCATTGTTAAAATTAAAAAGGAAAAAGGCAAGATTCTCGTGGACGGCCGAAGCCAATAGTGCTTTCGAAAAATTAAAACAAGCATTAACGCAAGCCCCTGTGTTGAAATTTCCTGAAAAGGATGAAAATTTAGAAATTTCAGCGGATGCTTCGGATTATGCGGTAGGAGCGGTACTTTCGCAAAATCAGCAGCCCGTGGCATTTTTTAGCCGAACTTTAAATCAAACACAAAGAAACTATTCCGCGACCGAGAGAGAGGCACTTGCAGTTCTGTTAGCAGTGCAAAAGTTCCGAGTCTATTTTGGAAAGGCGCCGATATAACGATATAGTATGTACTCTGATCATGCGGCGGTAACTAGATTGTACTCAGGGAAAAATTTATCCCCAAGGTTAATAAGATGGGCACTCAAGCTGCAAGAATATAATCTGGTAATCAAGCATACCCCCGGAAAGGAAAATATCGTAGCAGATGCCCTATCACGAATTAAATTAGACGAACAGGGTAATACCGTAAAAGTTGCAATGCTTACAGCGTGTACAATAAATTCCCGAGAAACTGTAATAACCGAACTGGGTAAGGATCCTGAGTTTGGAAGTATTTATGAGTATTTGAAGGATCCTGAAAATTTTAGCCACCAAGATATTGTGGCGATAAGAAATAGGGCGGCCCATTACGAACTAATAGATGGTCTATTATTTTATACAAAAACTACGAATTCCAACAACGAATTTCGACCTGTTATCCCAGCTAGTCTTAGATTAAATATCCTGCAAGAGCTCCATGACAGCCCTTTAGCTTCTCATGCTGGTATTCGAAAAACTATCCAACGCGTACGCGAGGCAGTCTACTTTCCTGAACTGCAAAAGTTAACAAGGGCGTATGTCCAGTCCTGCCCAACATGTCAAGCCGTTAATTATATTAATTTCCGCCCGGCCGGGTTTCTAAATAGTATTAAATCCGAATTTCCAAATGAAATAATTGGCATCGATTTATTGGGCCCTTTCCCAAAAAGTCAGTTAAATAAAAGTCGCTATCTCCTTGTTATGGTTGATCATTTTAGTAAATGGACCGAAATTGTTCCCTTAAAACGAGCCTCCGCGAAATTAGTTACTGATTCTATTTTAAATAAATATATTTTAAAATACGGGGCGCCCCTAAAAGTTATATCGGATAATGGTCCTCAATTTGTAAGTAATATATTTGAAGACATGTGCCAAAAACTGGGCATACGTCATTTAAAAATGGTCCCGTATCGGCCGCAATCAAATATAGCGGAACGGGTAAATAGAAATATAGTGAAAATTATCCGTAGTTATGTTAAAAATTTTCATAAAAGCTGGGATAACTATGTCAATGAATTTGCTTTCGCCCTTAGGACCGCAAAACATGATACAACGGGAAAAACTCCTGCTGAGTTATTTCTAGGCAGAAAGATTATAACACCGTTAGATAAATTATTTTATGTGCAACAAAGAGCCCCAGAATTTAAAATGGGTGATATAGAAAAACTAATTAAGGAGCAAAGAAGAATATTGAAGTAGCACAGAGAAAACAAAATTGTATTATGACTTGAAACGACGGGGAGTAACTTATAAAGTAGGGGATGAAGTACTAAAAATTAAGCATTCACTTTCTTCAGCACCAGAAGATAAAACTGCCAAATTTTTCCACGATTTGAAGGACCATATGTTATAGAAAAAATAACTCACGCTGTTGTAGTGTTAAAAGCCAGAAATGGTGAAACCTGTTCCGCAAACATTGATCAAATTAAGCCCTACTTCGATCGTAATAAAATGCAAATCTTTTCAGATCTTTTGCAGGATCCGGCACGGCAGACACCGCAGGTACAAGTTCCAGAGGTGGGAAAACGACAAGTACAAGGGCAAGCCAATGAGAGACAGAAGCAAGTGAAAAGAAAATTGCCCCCGCGGAAAAATTGAAGGTAAAAAGAAAAAGAAGCCGTTCCACCGTCCAGAAAACAGAGTTCACGAACACCCCCAGAATGAAGAAGGGAGAAGGACGACGTATGTGAAGAGGACCAGGAGAAATGACGGCAACTATAACCCGGCTTTAAAACGGAAGGATCGACTCATCCGACAGAACTCTCCGCAGCAAAAGTCGCCGAACTGCGGAAGGGCCATCAGCGGCGGAGGAAAAAGTACAAGAAAATTTGAACGGCCAACAACGAGGTCCAAGCAGGATCACGACAGAAGTTTCCCGGTTCCGCCAAGACCAGCTGCTGCCTTCAAACGGCCAAGACCACAAGCAGAGGACAAAAGGAAGGTGTTCAAGGGTGGCCGTACTGGTGAAAAAACGGAAGCTTCCTAGAGGAAAGCACTGAAGGGCGAGCCCGTACAAGAAGGAGGATCAACCAAGCTACTATCTGCTATACCTTTAAAGACTGGGCCCAGAAAAGGATGTCCTGAATATTACAAAGATAAGTAAAATTTTATGTTACTTTGCAAACTTAAGTTAATCTTTCATTCTTACTGCAAGTGGCAGATTTCAAGAAGTTTTTACCTCATGCGAGGTCTACCTTTATCGCCAAAAGGGCGAGAAATGAGTTGTGACCGATTTTCTTATAATGTTTTTCAATTACTCGTGCGTAAAACTAAAGTTGATGTATAATAGCGTTGTGTAAAGACTTAAATCTTGCAAAAAGTTATTGTATAAATTTTATTTAAAACATTCTAGCAAGAAAGAAGTTTTAGTCTGAAAGACTTTTTGAAATGTAGTATTATTTCAATGTAGAAAGAATTGGCACTTGCTTTGAAAAGAATAGAAGTTAACAATGTACTACTAATGTATGTTTTCAAATGTGTAAAATTAACGGCATGTTGATATGTTCTTATATACATGTGAACTGTTATTTTAAATGTTAAAAATACCGTGATATGGTAAAAGTGAAAGTAATGTTAAAAATTTGTTATTCGTGTGACTGTAAAGATTAAATCATGGCGAATATGTGGTAAAGGTTGAATGATGTAGTTAGGCTCTCTGACGCTACACTTTAGAGTTAGCCACTTTTAGAATAGTACCTCAGGGTTTAGAGTTGAAAGTAGGGTGTGTTAAGAGGTCTCGTTATGTTGAATTTTAACACGTTAGTGTTTTGATTGTAGGAGGAAGTGTTGAACACATAGACATAAACACATTCGTGTTTGGTGTTTTTACAACACATGTCAGAGAGCAAGGGGAGAGATAATTAAAATAGTCATGAATGAAATAAGAATGTTAAGAGAAGTATATTCTATATGTTATTTGCAATGTCATTGTGTAACATTTCATTAAACTAGTTTTCCTTCCAGATCTCTGGAAGGAACCAGAATTGAATAAAGCTCCTGTTTAGATGCAGTACAGATGAAAAAAAAAAAAGATTGTTGTAGATCCTGGGAGCTGCTATTGTAAAAACAAATTTCTTTCTTTTAAATTTTCTAGTTTCTAACGAAGTTATGATTGTAAAAGGTTGGCCTCGCGTTATATTCTAGAGCTAAAAGTTTTCAACAAGGTCGTTTTAGACCTCAGTTTCAAACTAATTAACTCTGGCGGGAAGTATGTAAGGATCTTAAGTTTTACTAACGTTTATTTTATTTTAAATCTTTACTATCACTTCTTATTTTCTACTTCCGGCCAGAATTATAAGCGTGAAGGATTTTATGCAAAGTTTGTCTGGCGAACGCCAAGTATTTAAGTTGTGGCTTTTTGCCAAGCGAAAGAGAGAGGAAGCAGTGAGTTCGAAGCAGGCCGCTTACCTTAGAAGTTACGCAGTTGCTATTTGCCTTCCAGGCCAGAGGTTTTAATCCTCTTGATAAATTAAACGTATTGTAGTGTTCACAGTCTCTGTGCTACATACGCTTCCTGTTATTATAAGGCCAATCTTACACGTGTATTATTCTAAAGTTAAATTAGAGTTAGTTTTATTTTGATATCTTTTACGTTAGACCCCGAGTGGAGGGTCATTGTATTCCGAAGTACGGAAGTCATTGTATATAAAGAAGAATAAAGGGTTTTGTATACCCTTCGTCGGTATCCTGTCTACTTACTACAATTAGTGAACATAGCTTTAGTAAGCTCTCTGTTCTTAGTCAGGTCCTTGTATGTTTCCGAAGAAAGTTAGAAGAAACATTGAACCTGATAGCATAATCTGAATCACACATTATTATGGCCAGCCCACAATTTTTGGAATCTCACATCTTAAGACATACAATAGATGAGAGAGAGTAATTAGCCAGTTAGCAGCGGCAAAGCAGGCTATGAAAGTGACGATGCATTCAGGAAAATTATAAGAAAGTGTTACATAGCGTTCACTTCTGAATTGAAATCTTATTCAAGGATTAGTCAAAAAGTATCTGTATTGCCACGTTATGTAAGATCTGATGATGCTGTTTAATTGTGAAATGACGCATTTCAGATGTTACTAATTTTAGGACAGAAAGAGAAAGTATACAAATTAAAATGAAGAATAAGAGGGGCTGTTGTCAGTTAAAAACTTGAAGTTTGCTTTACGTATTTTTATCTCATACACACACATCTATCTATCTATCTATACATCTACATATGTATTATAATAATAGCATAAAAATATTGTTACGCTAATTTCTTCCTTCACTTTCGTACAGGGTTCGGGTTCGACGACACTTGATGAAGCATCGAAACACACTTTATTGGCCAGTATTATCCAAGAGAGCTCGAATATCACGTTTACAGTCGTCGAAGAACTACTGAACACACGCTGTAACAATCAGCGACATAGCCTCCAGGTTATCAGGCTATAACGGGGGAGACAACTTCACTGAAAAGCACCAGAGTACAGCTCCCGACTCTGCTCGGTCATTCTCGGAACTCCACGTACTCTCGATATTCTCCACGCTACAACTCGCGATGCACTCGACGACACACAGAGCACAGCTCCCGACTCTTCGATTCAGTCGTTCCCAGAGCTCAACACGCTCTCTCGACGATGCGCTGGCCGCGATATACTAAGAGACTCTTTCGGTGCACTTCACGACCCACTCGGCATTCGGTGACGGACTGTCAATCGATTGACACCGCATGGACTGACTAACTTGAGACACTAACTATCTCGCACTCTAGACTAGGCACTCTCTCAATGACTGACTATCAGCTTGCTAGACGATTCACGCTCACTGACTGCGGATGAGCAGGTTTATATAGCTTTCGGCTTGTGTTCGAAAACATTCTGGGCTAATCCGGTAGGAATTCCTTCCAGAAGATTCTCCATCCGTTAATGGTATATCGCCAATTTTGTCGCCAATGTCGCCAAACTGGCAATTTCTCGCCAAATGTGGCAACATTGTCTTCTTTTGCCATTTTGTGGCAACCCTAAAACTGCTTTGCGGGGAAGCCATCTTACCGCGCCTGTACATTTCGTAATAATATATATGATTTAGCATGAAATTAATCATAACATCTAGAAATCGGTACGAAATTTATGGAAGACAAAAACAGATATATGAGTTTAATATCATATTAGGTGTGACACATTTAAGCATTTATATATTGTAAAAAAATAAAAAAAGAAATGTCACTCACTCCTTCATAATCTTTATCTAATTCTGCAGGATCTAAAATGTATTCTGGAAATCCAATCTTCTGACTCATTAGCATCGCCTGTAACAATGTAAAATAGAACAATTTTAAAGCATAATAATAATGTAAAATAAAATAAAAAATAATTAAAATAAAATAATAATAATAATAATAAAATAAAAAATTAAAAATATAATAATAATAATGTAAAATATGAAAAAATAAAAATATAATAAATAATAATGCAAAATAGAGAAAATGAAAAATATAATAATAATAATAATGTAAAATAGAAAATTTTTAAAATACATTTGCATAATTAAAGATATAAATATTGTTCTTTAGTACTTAGCTTATAGTAATTACTTATTGATTAGTTATTATAATTACATATTACAAAAAGCTTATTGTAATTACAATAATTCTTATGTTTTTGCGGGCAAAAAAAGAGTTATCTGCGTACGGTCTATGAAAGACAGCTGCGAAAGGTATTAAATGCGAAAAAGGATGGAAAATGTCAAGATTTGTTTAATTTAAAAGACAGGTAAAAATGGATAAATGTATGGATATTCCGTACCAGGATTAAACGTAAGTGACCTTTTAAAGAGATGGATACGGTATGTTATGGAAGTCTTGGATACTGTATGTTATGGAAGTTATCTAAGAGCTGCAGATGGGGATGATATTTTCATTAGCCAATCAGTCTACTGCAAATGACAGCGAATAATTTGTTCAAGAGTATTAAAATTCAGCTTTTAATTAAAAAAATGACCTAAATTCCGTAAAATTGTGGTATAGCCTAACGAGTAACATTTAAGATGTTGTGATATGCGAAGAGTAGCATGGACGTACTCCTTTAAATTCTGTAGTTATTAACTGGCGAAGCTACATTCTACGATGTGACAAGTTTACAGGGAAATGCTTGGGTGCTTTTTCCATTGATAGCAATATATGTAAAAGGTGAGTTTTTTAAATAAAAAGTAATTAATGAATTTTAGGGGCTTATCGAAGGGAGAAAATATATTTACTACTAAGGGTGGGGAATGTACCATGATTGCTCAAAGAGCATAGTAGAGACATCCTGTTTAATCCTACTGAATATGTGGGATTGAGGTCTAGGAAAGTTTGATGGTTGAACCAGCTGATTTCTTTCTTTTCGCCAACAGAAGAGCGGTCCATCCACTAGGGCATTAGCATGTCAGCCGAAACGCCCTACTGCTCTAACAGTTTGGAATACAATGCTAGGATGCACATACTTAAACCAGAGACATTACCGATATACATATACCGACAATGTACCCAAGCAGCACCCAAGCGAATATATAGCCAAGCAACACTGAAACGTTTAGAACACATTCAAAGAAACTGTCGTTCATTCTATGACAGTGTTACATGTATTTAGAACGTTCTATATAGCGTGCTAAAGCAGTTTATGTTACAACAGGGTTCTTACTATGTATTGTTAGACGTAACAATATTGGTACTTTCCGAAATGGTTCAAGCATGGGCTTGTAAAGTACGCTAAAAAAGTACTTGTAAAGTACGTGCAGGAAGTATTAAAGAGGTGCATATTACAATCGTATTCTTAGGACATTCTTTTCAACTTATATATTGGTAGTTTTCGAAACGGATCCAGTATGCCCTATCAAGTGCATTCTGCATGACATACTGAAGTGGTGCGCTTTACAATCTTTTTCTTAGCAAGTACATTTCAACGTACTGTACTGGTACATTTCGAAACGTAATTTAAAATGCTCTGCTGGAACATTAGAGAAACGTTCATAAAACGTTCTAGGAGTATTACAAAAAAGTGTTAGTGAGTACCACTTTTTAACGTGCTATTTCCCGTTATTGAACTCCAATATATGGATGTGGTTTAGAACATTCTTAAAAAATGTTCCACGAAAGCCTTAGTAAAAAATGCGCGCAGAATCTCTAGTAGAACATTCATGATACGCTACATGGATGTTTTACAAGCAAACATTTTTCGCGTAGTATACTCGGTTTTAGAACTATAACTTATGGACGTGATTTAGAGCGTTTTACTTGAGTGTTACCGGCACATAAGTGAAGCAACTGCATTTAACGTTCTTTGAAAGTTCATGAGTTAGTTGGGTATATACTTTAACTATCGAAAGACTAGCAGGAGAGTAGACAAGATTGCAACAATTTCTAACAATTAAGGGTCGAAATAAACGGATGAGCAAATATAAGAGGGAGTCATATGCTATAAACCTTCAGGAATTTGACGTCAGAAATGCAGGAATTCCTAGCATGTTTGCTCACTTGTTCCGCAAGACATAGTGAAGCCTCAGCCATACTAGTTGTCCAGTCGGGCTTAAAATCAAAAAGAGCGCGCGGTAGTTCTCAGTCTTAAATAAAATAGTAGTTACTGATGAAATTCTAAATAAGATATTTTAACTCCTTAATCAACTATTTGCTGTTAATTTAATTTAATTTCATAATTTTTATGTTTATTTCCTCATATTTTACTTAATTTTATAATTTATTATTCACTATATTATTAATTTTTTGGCTTTCCCTGAAAGCTTTCCTTAGGGTTCTGGCTCTTCGCATTTTAGAAAGTGAACCCTGGGTTCTGTAAATTACTAAATCATAATGGTGGTAATAATTTAACCCCTTTTTATTAACCTTGTGTATCTTTAACCTTATTTTAACTAACCATAACTAACCTAAAAACTATAACTACGTATTAAGTATAATTAAATTTAAAATTTGCTCAAATAAGGCACCATATGTATAAATGATACTTATGTATCATTGCAGCCATCTTAATAGATGCTGCCAGAGTTTCAGAACATGCCAAATCCTGGCTACCATGCGCATGCACATTCTTCAGGAAACCATAATCATAACAATCCTTCAGTCAAGCAAAGTCGCGATTTTCGTATGCGTTCTTTTTGTTGCATTCTACTTTCCAACGGTTGTTACACATAAGTTGTGTTATTTTTTGCCTTCAACTCATTTTAAAACATAGCTTGTGAAATTTGCCAGCTATGGAAAGTATTGCGGTAAAAATTCTGCAGGAGTATAATATTTTACAGCAAAATCGCTAAACAGAATAATGATGAGATGAGTTTGATAGATAGTCGGTGCGTGATGCGGAGTTTGTGCAATTCTTTGATATTTTTTTAAGCGATAATAGATCGCAATGTAGATGAGGAGAAGCCCAAGACCGAAAAATTAGAGAAGGATTTCTCGAAAAATATGAGTTTTTTTAATGTACCATATAATTCTTATTTGATAATTAAAACTTGAATTTTGAAACTTTTTCTTTTGATAATGTATTCCGACCGATTAATATTTGAAATTAATTCTCAAATTTTAAAATTATAAACTCCCACGATGAATGATAAGCAAAAATAATGCAAGGGAGCAAAGTAGGTGTGTCATTTGGGAGTCCTTTTTCCATCATGACAGAAGGCGTTGTAGAAAAATTCAAAATTTGTTACTTTGTCGTTCTCTCTTTGCATTTCATTTAGTAGTAACGGAAGAATGCGATGGTGCTTAATCGTTGAAAATGCTTCAATTTTTAAAAAAATCAACACCAACTAACGTTATTTTATCCATACAAAGCTTACTTGGTCGTTCCTTTTTAATATGCTTCATAGTCCAAATGAGCAATTTGGCCAGAAGGACTATTAATTTCGTTTTGCCATTTTGAATTGGTTCACTATAATTCACTTTTCAAATTGTTGCCATCACATATTAGAGCCCTGTATTATATTTAAAGAAATTAAATAACGAAGAATCTGCATAAATGTATGTATGTCTCTCGCACTGTGATAAAACGGTGTCCGCCGAAAACATCGCAGCAGAAACATCGTGGACGAAAACGTCGCAAGGCGAAAACATCGTGGGAGAAAAGGAAGCAAAGAGAAAACAGTTTTAAAACACAGTGGTACAAAATATTGTCATCGAAAATAAAGCGGTTCAAAAACTTCACAGTTTAAAAACACCGTCGTCGAAAATATCGTGGCAAAAAATAAATTACCTACAAATAATCGCATGACGATAAATTACCTACAAAGCTGTAAATGCATTTTCGCATAATGATTTAGGAGCGCAAGAAGTAAAGAAGGGTGTTTTTCCTTTTAAATTTAATATTTTTTAGTGAACTTAACAAATTTTGGCTGAAAACGTAATAAGGAAACTTAAGCATTTAAAAATTTAAAATGAGTAGAAGATTAACGCAATTACAACCCTTAATAGAATTCTAAATTTACTTAGTTGATTAACAAAGGTCATTAACAAATTAATATTTTTTAATAAAGTTTTACTCGTAATGGTTCATTAAAAGTACAGCCTAAAAATGCTTAGAAAAAGAAAATGAATAACTGTAGGAGGTTATATCTATAAAAGTTGCTAAGTTAATTATGAAATTACTTTCTTTCACGTTTGTTAATCTGATATTGTTTTGCTGAAAATTATACCTTGTTTTGTTTCCGTTTATTCTTAAAGTGTCGTTAACATTTTTTGAGTTTCCAAATATTTATGCGAATATGCATTTACAACTTCTAAATCCTAAAAAAACGTATTTGTGCGATGTTATCGTCATGCGATGATTTGTAGGTGCTTTATTTTAACCGAGATATTTTCGACGACGATGTTTTTAACCTTCCAGCATGCGCGCTTGACAACTTTACATGAACACGCCCGTGTCGTATTTTTTACAACATCCGTTTTTTTTACAGTTTTTGGTACGAAAAACGACAGAAATGAGTGAATATTGATTATAAATTTGTTAAGAAATAAAATATTAATCTTATTATTGCAAAATAAAATGATATCACATTCAAATATAAGTAAATTATTTTTAAGTTCTTATGTTAGTGAGATGGAAATGCAATGATGCATATCATTATAGAACATTCTAAATTTATTATTTAATAATTATAATTTAAATTCGAAGCTAATTTTAATATTCATCAAAGACAAGTATAGACAAAAAAAAAAAAAAAAAAAAAAAAAAAAAAAAAAAAAAAAAAAGGTAAACACCCTTAGTAGGAAAAAAGTAAGTTTAGCATTACTTACTTCTGCAAGGAAGTTTACTTCTTACTGGTTACAAAAACGCACTTTAAACTAAATTTAATATTTTTATTTACTTCTAAAAAATAGAAATAAAAGAAAATAAGGAATGGAAATCGCTATTGTTCTCCCCTCCAAAGGTTTCCTTGTCTTCATTTTCTTCATCAAATAATTCTTGATGAATGCGAGCAAAATCAGCTGGTTGCACATATTTTTTTGCCCTGAAAACTGATATAAAATTTACAGAGCCAAATCAAATTAAAATAATAGACGGCAATTAATAACACAAAATTACAAAATATTTGAAAAAGAATATTTTCCGAATTTTCACCCACGAAAACGCGCGTGTCGTATCTTTTACGAAAAAGCTGCCACGTAGCACAAATGCCCAGTAAAAGAAAAAAAAAGTGAAATGACTTCCTGTTGGCACATTTCATGATGTGGAGAAAGGTAGAATGGAGGAATAGAAATGACATTCAGACGTCTCAGCTTCGATATGCGAAAAATGTGCATTAAAAACTGAATTTGTCGTAAATTTTGCGCATAGGCGCGTGCTGAAAAGTTAAACTGCGAAGTTCTTGAACCGCTTTATTTTCGACGACTGTATTTTGTACCACGATGTTTTAGAACTGCGATGTTTTCTCTTTGCTTTCTTTTCTCCCACGATGTTTTCTTTGCTGCGTTGATTTTTCCGCGACATTTCCGTCCGCGATGTTTTCGGTTGTAACTGATAAAACAACGATACCTAGAGCAATCGAATTTTGAATGACGAAATCCTCCAGCGAATATGGGCATCTGGAAGACCAAATTTAAAATTTGTTTTATTATCGATTTCATATTTTGTAAAACTTTAACGAATTTCTGATTAAAACTCAACGATTTCAAAGCGAGCAATGGCAACTTCGCACAGAAAAAAAAAAAAAATTTCTATCTCCAGCGCGCGAGACTGTGTATCGGAAATTCTAAAGATTTGCTCATTTTAAATTTATTTTGCGATATTGCTCTTGAACTGAATTTTATGGTTTAAGTGAGAAGAACATGATATTTAATAAAAAAAATTAGCACACAAAATGTTAAAAAAACCGCCCTTTTGGACGTAATTTAAAATCTGAAACTTTTCAGATTTACCTTCTGTCGAGCAGCTGATCTCGTTTCAAAGTCCATCCAATCAACTTTATCCAGCAAATCAAGAAACGCAGTTTTGATATCTTCGAACATTTCCTCTGCCTATTGCAAATAAAAGGTATGAAGCTAAGAAAGAAATTCATATGTTTAGAAATTTTATTTACTAGTATTTTGTTTGTATATGGTCTGAAAAATTAAAAATTTCGAGAAAGGAATTATGTTAGCCATATTATTTATGACAGCGATCTGTACATACGGACAGAATAAAGAACTCTTTTTTTTTTTTTTTCCAAACGAGCTTTAAAATGGTTTTAAATTAATTCAGAAGCGATTTTTTGGCTAAAATTCCGGGAGAAGTTGGCGCCAAACTATTTTGGCCTTCAAAATTTGGCGAATTTTTTAGGCGCATTAAACGAAAGCACTAAAACATGATTTTTAAACGATAACAGAATAGTAACTTTTAAGTTTTGCAGTAGTGAAACGCCGTTATTTTATGTAAACATAATAGTAAAATGAGATGATTAAATACTAGATGAGTAAAACGGAGTCCAACAGCTTTGCAAGTAAAAGCATAGTCGTATATATATGTAATTCATCATAAAATAGTAGAATGAACAATTTTTGTAAATAATTATTGAGTAAATAAATGTATACACTTATCAGATCAGAGCACTGCGAAGTCACTTTTAAACGTAAAAAGAATAGCAAATTATGCGTATTCAGCATCATAAACTAACTAAAATATTCAAGTTACTATCGTCGTGGAATTCAACACACTAAACAACTTTCGTTCAAAGCTTTAAATATTCCACATCTTTCGATTGCCACATGCAAGAAACAAAACTAAAAAAAAAAATTAACTGAATAAAATTAAATGAAAACATTCATAAATTATAAACTTTATGTCATATGAAATCCAACATTCTCCCAACAACAACTTAACCTTCTGCAAATATTTATATAAATATAATATTAAACATTTATATAAATATAATATTAAACATATATATAACAATAATATTAAACAGTAAAACTTTAAAAAACAAACACAGTATTTCAAAATTAAATTTAAAAAAAATCTGGCTACACTAAATTCGCGCTTTTACAGTTACCGAAATAAAGCTCCAGGTTTGCCACAAGAAAACATACAGCCGGAAACCACAACCAAATTAAAATCGCGCCAAATAAAAAACTCTCTCGCATAACTCAAAAACGAGTAGCCGTAGAACGTTGAAATTTTGTATATGGGACTGCGTAGCATCTAGTTGTGCACCCTTTTCGTTGCAATCGGCAGCAAAAAAGTATATATATTTCTTACATGTGGTAAATAAATTGTTAATTTTTTGCTTTAAAAGTAGCTGAATTATGTTGTAATTTTTGCTTTAAAAGTAGCTGAATAATGGATTAATTTTTTGTTGAAAACGTTGTTTTTTAAGATGGCTGGCAAATGTAAATAAATACATTTACTAAAGAGTATAAAATGCTAAAGTAAGGTTAAATTATTACTTTCATATAATAGACTAAAAACACCGCTGTAAAAACATTGCGCAAAATTTAATTGGATTAAAATATTACTTAAATTGAATATCGAATTAAAAACATCATACCAACGTTTAAAAGAATTAAAATATTAGTTAAATTCAAATACTTTAAAATAAGTTTTATACGATATAATTATTTAACATTAAAACATATGTGGCAATAAATATCTCAGGAATTTTTGAAAACAATGTATTAATTTTTTAGTAAAACGTGAAGTATACAATTATTGTCACATTCTTGCCACTAGGTGGCGGGCATCTCTTCCTTTACTTTTGCTGTAATTAAGTTTCGAGAACCAGTCGAGATTGGAACCGCTTTGAGGAGCGTAAAGACTCAGAGTTAAAAATGTACTGTCTTAAAATAGTTATCACCTACCTTGTAAATAGTGTATATTAGCTTTTTATTTCAATAAATAATTAAAAGACAAGATGGCCTGCTAATTGTAATAGAAACTCTTACTGGAAAACGTGATTATTAGAAGCCTGGCGTCGAGAACACTGAAGATGCAGCAGGTAAGGAATTTTACATTAATTTTATTGTAAATAGAAGAACCTGATGATGCAACATTTTTATGGCGCCCGAACAGGGACGCCAGGTTTTTTGAAAAGTTCTAATAAAGTGAATTCAAAAGCTGAATATTAAAATTGAAGATTTTAATACTTGTTCTTGAAGTATTCAGCAAAAGAATAATTTTGTTTTCTAAGTAAGAGTTAAATATTTGTTTTTCATGAGACGTATATTTTTTGTGTAAATGTTTGAATCTAAGAAAGATAATGGCTGAAGTAGATAAATTAAAAAAGAAAAGAAGTATCTTAAGAACTGCCGTTACAAAACTATTTAAGAAAATCGAAAGTGAATTAAATAAATCTGAAGGTAGTATTAATGAGCTCGAAGAATTGTTAGAACAGCTTAATGCTAAAACCGAAACACTATCTAATGCCGATGTAGAAGTTGAACCAATTCTGAGTGTAGATGAATTCGAAAATGAATTCGAAATTACAGAACAATATCGCGAGAAGATAACGTTATGGAAATTCAGGCTTAAGAAACGGATTAAGGAACTTAATCATGACTTAAATGCACCGAACACACAGCAAAATATAAAAGATACACCTAATGTTAAATTACCAAAACTTTCGATTCCCGTATTTTATGGGAACAGTAGTCAATGGCTTACTTTTTGGAATAGTTTTGAGTCCTCAATACATAATAACGAATCATTGAACAAAGTAGACAAATTTAATTACCTGAAAGCATATTTAGGAGGAACAGCTGCTAATTGCGTTCAAGGACTTCCGTTATCGCCGAAACATTATGATTCAGCAATTCAAATCTTACACGACCGTTTTGGAAGGAGAGACATTCTTATTAATGCGCACATGAATAATTTGCTGAATATTGAATCATTAAAAAATGCGAATGACATAAAAACATTTCGTAACTTGTATGATAAAGTACAAACACAGATTAGATGTCTCGAAGCGTTAGATGTTGTATCGGAATCTTACAGCGCTTTGCTGTGTCCGATGATTTTGAAGTTATTGCCTTCAGAATTAACGCTTGAATTTCATAGAACACAAAATGTTGGCACCGATTATAACATAAAAGATTTAATGTCATTTTTACACGCAGAACTTTCATCCCGTGAACGCACAAGGTCAACGGTTTCGCAACAGCAAAAAGTATCCGATCGGCGACAGTCTTCTTCCCCCCCTGCAAAAAGCGCATATGGTCTCTCAAATAGACATAATAAACCAAAGATTCCGACCGCTACAGATTTGTTTACAAAATCCGAATGCAGAGAGGAAAATATGAACTGCGTCTTCTGTAATCAATTTCACAAGACTTATGACTGTAGTTTCGTTTCCGGCTTATCATTACAAGAAAAAAGGGACATTTTAAAAAGAAAATGTGCTTGCTATAAATGCCTAAAATTACACCATTTGGCTCAAAACTGCAGAACAAAAATAACTTGTTCTATTTGTAAAAAAAAAACAACATGCAACTATTATGTGTAATAAACAAAATCCTTCTGTCGAGGTTTCGGAAATTAAAAAAGACGAACAGATAGAAAATAAAGTACTTTCAAATCAAGCAGGATGTTCAGAAGTATATTTGCAAACTTTAATTGTTCGCATATATGGAAGAGGGAATAACCAATTTGTTCGAGCGATAATTGACACCGGAAGTCAAAACTCATACATAAGCAGGTATGCAGCAGAAAGGTTACAATTAAGAAGCTTAGGTGAACAAAGTGTAACCCACGGACTTTTCGGTGGCATAGAAGTTTCGGAAAAACATAAACGTTATAGAATAAAATTGGGTAGCGTAGATAAACGGTATAATTGCGAAATCAATGTATTGGATGAAAGAAAAATATGTTCTTCGGTCCCTAAAATCAAAAATATACACTGGATTAGGGAACTTAGAAGAAGAGGAATTTACGTCAGTGATGTTTTTGAAAATGGAAATTGCAGATTATTCCAGGAGAACCCCCAAGAGATTCATTTGTTGTTAGGGGCAGATGTTGCTGCAAATTTATTTACAGGTAAAATCGAAGTTCTTCCTTGGGGAAGATTAGTTGCTGTAAGTACAAGACTTGGGTGGACAGTCATGGGGAAAGCGAACACTGACAATTATGAAATAGAAAATTCCTTTTCCACGCTTTCGTTATCTTTACATATTTCTGATGCCACGTTGTCAGAACTGTGGAGGCTTGATGTTATCGGAATAACAGATCCAGTTACAAAAAAGGCTAGAGAGGAAAGGGATTTGCAAGCAAAATTGCAATTCGAAAATTCTGTATCTCTAAACGAAGAAGGGCGTTATGAAGTCGCACTTCCGTGGGCGGAGAATCATGTACCACTCTCCACCCACAAGGATTTAGCGTTGAAACGTCTACAATCTACCACCCAGAAACTTTTATCTCAAAATTTATTTTCTTCATACAATGCAGTTTTTAATGACTGGTGTAACTTAGGAGTGATCGAAGAAGTTAAAGAAAATATTGCGGTTGACTATGGACATTATTTACCGCATAGACCGGTGATCAAAGAAAATAGCTCAACACCAATTCGACCGGTGTTTGATGCGTCTGCGAGGAAACAATCGTCTCCTTCTCTAAATCAGTGTTTGGAGTGTGGACCAAATTTGATAGAACTAATTCCATCTCTTTTGTTGAGATTTCGGGAAGGCAAGTTTGCTGCTATAGCAGACATTGAAAAGGCTTTCTTACAGATCAGTGTAAGGCCTCAAGATAGAGACTGGCTTCGGTTTTTCTGGTGGAATGATGTGGAAGAAAGGAAAACGAAAATATTTCGTCATACTAGGGTAGTATTTGGGGTTAAGAGAGTAGTCCTTTCCTTTTGGCAGCTGTTATAGAATTCCATCTACAAAAGTACATGAAAAATTCTTCATATGATACGGAGATAATAGCTAAACTCTTGCGTAGCTTCTACGTAGATAACGTTGTTGCCAGTTTTGACAAAGAATCCGAGATGATTCAGTTCATCGAAAAATCTCGAGAAATAATGAATGAAGGAAAGTTTAATCTTCGAGGTTGGTTACATAATGGAGATAACCTGAAACAGGAAACTATTTCACCCGTATTGGGTCTGTTATGGAACTGTCAGAAAGATAATTTAACTTTGAATCTGAATTGGCTAGAAGATTTTGAAATGGGTATAATAACGAAGAGAACAATTCTCGCTGTAACACACAAAATATTTGATCCTATTGGTATTGTGAGTCCTGTTCTCTTGTATCCTAAAATATTGTTGCAGAACCTATGGAAAACAGGAATTTCTTGGGATACTGAAGTTGACGAGAGTACAAAACAAAATTTTGTGAATTGGTATAAAAGCCTTTTTCTCTTAAAAGAAATATCCCTCCTACGTTGGATACATTCCAGCAAGGACAATAGGAAGTTCTGCAGCATTCACACATTCTGTGATGCCAGTAGTAATGCGTATGCTGCTGCTGCAGTTTTCTTGAGAACTGTGACGAATTCTGGAGTTGAAGTTCATCTGTTGGCATCGAAGTCTAGAGTAGCTCCCGTAAAATCTATTACGATCCCTCGTCTGGAATTGATAGCTGCCACGATAGGTGCCAGACTATGCTCTTCTGTTTTAAATGGTTTGCAATGGCAAAATATGGAAACGCATTTTTGGACGGATTCTACAACAGTTTTGACATGGATTCAAAGGG